CCCTGAGGCTATTCAGGAACCCAAGATTACTTCCATCTTGGAATGCTGTGCTTTAAATCCACTGAGTTATGAGGTACTAAAGCTCTCCACAATCCCTGAGATGCTGAAAGAGTCTAAAAACTCATCAAGGACAAAGCTCTCTCTGTGTGCTGTGTAAGGAACATGGGGTTGGCAGTTGGAGATGTCGTCTTGCTGGGTGCTCTGCCTCGAAGCTTCCCTCCCTCATCTGTAAGGCATCTGCCCTGGCCTGTCTACTTTGCAGGATTGCTGTATTGATACTGCTCTTGAAGATGCTTTGGAACTGCCAAGGGACAGTGAATGCCACATAGGGACATTTGCTCCAGAAGATGAAGACACCGAGTCAGTGGGACTCAAACCACTCTTCACACAGAAGCTAGCACTCTTTGCTAGATCTCTCTGACAAGGTCACCTCAAGATGAAAAGGTGGCTGCTCCAGGACTAAGCCCATGTAGGGAGTCAGGTGGTGCAAGTGTCCAAGATATGTTTTGAAGGGGCTTCTCTAACAAGGACACAAAGGGCTCAGCCTGACTGACCCTCTAGATTCCCTGTTACACCCCAATCCCACCTACTGCATCCTTGGCTTCTTCACCTTTAGAATGGGTTCCACCATCATCTCCATTCCAAGCCACTATTGATTTTTGAACACTTATCATGAGCCAAGCTTTTTGTTGAGTGTGTACAGGAATAATTTCATTTAATTCTACCTACCAGGTCAGTATTCTTATGCCCCCCCCCTTTTATTTACAGATTAGAAAACCAAAAAGCAAGGAGTTTGACTACGACCCCTACAATTCTACAGGTAGCAGTAGGTGGTGGTGACAGGATGTGAGTTTGACCTGCCTGGCACTGTCTTTTCTGTGCCCTAGCAGCAGTGTGACTTTGTATAAGGAAAGGGCCTCCCATCTCAGGGCTTCAGCTGCTTCCTGTATAAAATGAGGGGCTGGACAAATACAAGGCAAAGGTAACCTATACATGGAGCTGTTTCAAGGCCCACAAGAGCCCAAATGTGAACATTGGGTCAAATTGTCTTTGAGTGGTTTCCTCTCCACCAGATTCATACTTGTAAGGAGAAACACCATGATCCTCACCATAGCTCTCTAACAAAAGCACAGTCTTAATGGACGGCAGATGGTCTTGGGGATGTGGAACAAAGTTGGGCAGTGACAGCTTCCCCATTGGGACCCGAGGCACGGATGACAATGATTATACTAGTTAAAAAGATGAAGCTATTAAGACTTCAGGTTCCTCTGACTGCAAAATAGGAACTCAGCTGAAGAGCTTTACCTTAACAAAAGATTGCCACAGGTAACACAAACAAGTTTGCTTCACTTAGTATATATATGTATTTTTTTTTTTTTTGCGATTAAGTCTCATTTTGTCACCCTTGGTAGAGTGCTGTGGCATCATAGCTCACAGCAACTTCAAACTCTTGGACTCAAATGATTCTTTTGCCTCAGCCACTCAAGTAGCTGGGACTATAGGCACCCACCACAATGCCTTGCTATTTTTAGAGACAGGGTCTCACTCTTGCTCAGGCTGCTCTCAAACTCCTAAGCTCAGGTGATCTTGGCCCCCCAGAGTGCTGAGATTACAGGTGTGAACCACCGCACCCTGCCTGCTTCACTTAATACATAAAGAATGTTCATAGACCAATATGAAAAATCCCAACACCATAGTTGAAAAAGGCTAAGACAATTTATAGGAATTGTAGAAATGACCAATGTACCTATGAAGAAAAAGTCCAACTTTAGTAGTAATCAAACAAATGCAAATTAAAATAATAAAGTCTCTAAAGTAGGGCAGGGACAGGTAGCTTACAAGAGCAAGAGCAAGACCCCATCTCTAAAAATAGCCAGGTGTTGTGGTGGGCACCCCGTAGTCCCAGTTACTCAGGAGGCTGAGGCAAGAGGATCACTTGAGCCCAAGAATTTGAGGTTGCTGTGAGCCATAACTTCAGGGCACTCTTCTGAGAGTGATAAAATGAAACTCTGTCTCAAAAACAAAAAACAAACAAACAAACAAAAAAACTACGAAGTATTCTCACACAGAAAAATCTAACTAGAATTTGATCAAGCTTTGAGATTTAGCTCTCAGTTCATAGAAAATATAAGGGATAGAGGAACATTTAAATGATATAAAAAGGATGTAATTAGCAAAATCTAAATGTGGAAAACTTTACAGGAAGAACTTAGTTTCTTCAAGAAATAAATTTTAAGGAAAAAAATGGTTGGCTGGGCTCAGTGGCTCGAACCTGTAATCTAGCACTCTGGGCGAGGCAGGTAGATTGCCTGAGCTCACAGGTTCGAGACCAACCTCAGCCAGAGAAAGATCCCATCTCTAAAACTGTCTCTAAATCTGGACATTGTGGAGGGCTCCTGGAGTCTCAGCCACTTGAGAGGCTGAGGCAAGAGAATTGCTTGAGCCCAGGAATCTGAGGTTTCTGTGAGCTGTGACACCATGGCACTCTATCAAAGGCGACAAAGTAAAACTCTGCCTCAAACAAAAAAAAAAAAAAAAAGAAAAGAAAAGAAAAGAAAAAAAGCGGCGAGACAACTTACATATTTAAAGAGATTTAACAGACATATTGACCAAATGCAATGTATGTAACCTTATTTGGATCCAACAAATATATTATAAAAACATATAACACCATGAAAGACTTTGAACACTGGTTGAATATTTGATGATTGAATATCATCAAAATATCATCAATCACATGCCATCATTTTTGGTGTGTTAATGGCATTGCAGTTATGTTTACTAAAAGAGTATTTATCTCTTAGAGGTTCACAAAGGAATATTTATTTATGATGCCTGGAAGTTCCTTTAAAATAATCCAAGAAGAGAGAAGTTGGAAAGTATAGATGTCATAAGATTGGCCATGAATCGATACTTGCTGAAGGAGGGTTGATTGGTACATTACACTATTCCATTTTTCTATACTGTCATTTTGTATTCTTTTTTGGTGTCCAAAAGTTTTTATAATCAAAAGTAAAAAACATGAACTATTGTCTAAAATCTGAAAGGCTATGCACCAAAATGTGTGAAATCACACATTTATATTTTCTTCCTTTTCTTCTTAACCTGTTGTAAGGAGCAAGCACAATCAGAAAGAAAGATAATGTTTCAAGGTGGGTTTAAATTTTTAAATAGCCGAATATACCAGTTGTGGCTAAAGGAAAAAGCCAGGCTAAGAGAAAATATAGGTTGATGCTTGTTCCCTGCTGAGCAAGCCCTCTGTCATCCATTCCTGGAAACCAGCCCATTCTTCCCTACTTAAACAGAGAAGGAAACAGCTTCAGAGAGGTGAAGCCACATACCACAGATGCCAGGTACGCCAGGTACGGGCTCCTCAGGGATAGTGCTGGCCTGGATCCCCTGAGCACTCACTCTCACAGTTTACTGGGCCATGAAAGGAACTGTGGCCCCCTATTTTAGCATAAGGCACTTGTGCCTGGGTGGGGGCAAGGGAGTGGGAGGCCTGATGCTTGGTGAGGGCTCTCTGCCTTGCTACCACCGTGAGATGGAGTTTTCTCCTCATCTAGACAACTGGGATGCCATTCCCTGGGTAGACAGGGTTGTAAACAGTGAAGTGCTGGTGCAACATGTTGATACAGGGTTCCCCTATTCAAGGCTGGATAGGGACCCCAGTTTTCCTAGGCCTGGGCATGAAGAAACACCCTGACCTTTTGCCCCAGCTGAAGGGACTGCACTCATTCATTTGTAGATAACACTCATTAACATTGAAAACATGGTTCCATTTGCCAAGTCCTGGCCAACTGTCATTCTCAAGACCTAATACCCATAGACAAAGAGCCCCCTGTAGAGACTTCCTACTTGGGTCTTTCCCTCTGCCAGAAACTCTGGGGCTTGTTACCCCTTCTGTATTCCTTTCTGTCTAATAAAATCCTATCTTACCACTGATCTGTGGTCCATGGGTTCATTCTCCCAATCCCCTACACCAAGGACCTACTGAAGAAGAAATTCCAGTAACATAACAGTATAGGGTGGTGAAAGAAGCATCTGTGTCCACTCCAGGGTATAGCCCAGTAAATCACTTGACAAAAGTCACCCTTTCTGAGCCTTGACTTTGGAGGGACAGTATTAAGGCAGGTGGGGCAGAAGAGGAAAGGGGACAGCACAACTAGGACCCCAACCAGTGCAGTACCCAGGTTGCCTCTTCCTCTATTTGTCCCTCTCTGTCCCTCTATCTCTCATCCCCACCTCTGCCCAAGGTGGTTCAGGCCCTCAGGGAAGTTCTCCAGGAACCTGGAGACTGGTGGCCTCACCCTGGTTGCAGAGCCACCTCAGGCCACTTGGCAGGTGAAGTAGTGGCCTTTCTCCTGGAGCCCTGGGCTAGGCTCCCTAAGGCTGTGCTGCCCCAGCTTGAGTCATTTGCTCCTTGGAGCTCAGCTTCCTTTCAATGTCCTATAAAGCCTGGCCTGGGGGCCTCCGCAGCTCTGGGACTCAGCTGGCCTCAGACTTGACCTCCCCCCTCAGATGCTGGCTCCTCCTCTCTCACCAGCTCCAGCCTTGGCACGTTCTCTCTCCCCTTCCTTTCGCTATTTCAATTACTATTTTTCTTCCTTTTTCGTTCTTTTGTCTCTCAAGCTCCTTTTTCTTTCTGCCCTGGTCCATGCCTGTTTATCTCCAAAGACTCTGCCTCAGCCTTTCCTTTTTCCTTTTTCTCTTTTCGTTCTTCCCTCTCTCCTTTATCTCTCCGTTCCTCTGTCTTTATTTCTCTGTCTTTTTTCTATCTCTCTCTGTGTCTCTGTTTTCTCTCACCATCTTTTTCTCCATCGCTCTCCCTGCATCTCTCCTCTCTGTCCATCTCGTCCTTGTCCAGCTTTCTCCCTCCCACATTCCTCCATCTCTTCTCTCTGTCTCTCTCTCCCCTCATTCCTACCTCGCCATCCACAGGTCCCCCGGCTCTGGGTCCCCTGCCCTTGCCCGCACCCCACGTCCCGGGCCCCACTCACCGGCCAAGGCGCCCGCGGCGCGGAGCAGGGCGAGCCCGGCCAGCGCGCAGAGCAGGGGCCGCATGGTGCCTCCCGGCCGAGCGGAGCGCAGCGTCTGCCCGCGGCCGCCCTCCCCGGATCGCTCCGGGCCGACCCGGGAGGAAATGCTCGCAGTTCCAGCCAAAATTCCTGGGCGGCTCCGGGCTTTCTGGCTCGAGCGAACCCGCCCCCTCTAGAGGCCCCTCGGCGCCCCGTGGACAGCGCGGAGCCCAGAGACCCAGAGGGCGGAGGAGCGACTTGCCAGCCGATCGTCTCTCCAGGAAGGAGCTGCTTTTGGGGTACCCCGCGCCTCCCGGGGCCGGGTGAGAAGGGGAGGGAGCGGGCCAGGGCATGGGCTTGAGGCGGTCAGGGACTCCCTGTGAGCCCATTTCACAGACGGAGAGACTGAAGCTTAGAGAGAAGGGCCCTCCTTGGTGTTATGTCTATCTATGGGACAAAATCTGAACCCCCGTCTCCTCCAAACACTCCAAGGAGTGTTTGCCTATCCACGAAAAAGAAATTAATTCGAATTACATCAGGCAGTGTCTGGCCTTGAGAAGGAGATTCAGCCTCAGTGTTTGCCTTCTACAAAAACTCATTGTTCTGGTAAAGGAGTCTTAGCAATGTTATACGACACTTTTCATAAAGGTAAAATCCTGACTTGCATACAAATATTAAATGAGAGTATGCTAAAGAGCATATTTAACGCACTATCAATTAATTATTAATTTAACCTGTAATTAATAATGGTTGTAAGATGTTACAGCCAGACCAGAGAACAGGCACAGACCTGAAATACTGACAGGAAAGTGCAAATGGAGGTGAAACTGGCTCCTTCCACACAGTGAGGGACAACATGAAAAACGTGTGCATCTGACCACAAGAATTATTCTGTATTGTTATCAGTTACTGACAATGTACAGACTTGTATAAGAAAGTCAAAGAAAGGCAGAGAGCCCTGGTAGAATCAGGATCAGAGTGTTCAACAAATGCTCAGGCCAGTACTAGTGTGGGAGGAGGAAATAGAAAGAATTCACATACTCACATATCGTGTCTGCCCTGAAGGAGTCCACAGAGCAGTCACCATCCTAATATTAATAAACAGCCGCTAAACTTTCCTTGAGTCACTTCTACATACATTCACCTTTCTAATCTTCATGCCCCAGGAGGGGCACATCATTTCATCCATTCTGCAAATCAAGAAATCGAGTTTCGGAGAGGTTAAGAACCTTGCTGGTAGTCACACAGCTGCTATCATAGGGACTTAGGCAGCTTAGTCCTTAGATAATAATGTACCACAGGTCGCTGAGAGACTGGATGTCTTTCTCCACTCTAAGCAAACTGGGTGGGTTTCTCCATTCCAAGAGTGAAGTGAGTTTTTTCTGTAACTTCAAAGCATCTCCCAGTTCCTTTCACTTTAGAACACAGTAGTGGAAATGCTCGCAGTTCACCCACAGCATGCACCCATCCAACAAGCGTAAAAAGAATTAACTTTTTAGTGAAAATGCCAAATGAAAACTGTATTCCTAACTCACCTGCTGCAGAGCCCTTGGTGTCTTTCCTGACTGTCACCCAGTGGAGCACCTACATCACCGAGCCTGGGAGGATGTTTTTATCCTGGGAGAATATCTTTATCCCACAAGAGGGCCCATTATGTTTACCCGGAACTCTTTCAGATCAAGCCTGCCTCTCTGCCGCCTTTGTTCCCAGCTGTGGCTGAGCAATTGTCCAGTACAGTCAGTGTGGCCACTAACCCTCACTTCTCATTTCTTCCTCCAGAGCAAGATAAAAACTTTAGGCACAGAAATTCTGATTTGTGTCATTGGATCTGAGATAGAGACTTGGCTCTAAAAGTTATAAAAGCCCTTATAGGTGTGTGTGGTTCAGGCCTGCAAAAGTGGGAGGATACCTTGAACTCAAGAGTTCAAGACCAGCCTGAGCAAGAGAGAGATCCTGTCTCTACTAAAAACAGGAAAATTAGCTGGTAGTGAGTGCCTGTAGTCCCAGCTACTCCAGAGGCTGAGGCAGGAAGATCACTTGAGCCCAGAAGTTTGAGCACTCTACCAAGGGCAACAGAATGAGACTCTGTCTCAAAATAAATAAAGTTGTTTTTGAAAAGCCCTATAGGGGGCTCAGCGCCTGCGGTGCAAGTGGCTAAGGCGCCAGCCACATACACCTGAGCTAGTGGGTTCGAATCCAGCCTGGGCCTGCCAAACAACAATGACACTGCAACCAAAAAATAGCTGGGCGTTGTGGCAGGCGCCTGTAGTCCCAGCTACTTAGGAGGCGAAGGCAGGGGAATCGCTTGAGCCTAGGAGTTGAAGGTTGCTCTGAGATGTGATGCCACAGCACTCGACCCAGGGCAACAGCTGGAGGCTCTGTCTCAAAACAACAACAACAAAATGAAAAGCCCTATAGAGATTATGATGCCCAGAGCACCTAGCTCAGAAGAAGGATTTATTTCAGGAATGCCCAGAATTTCTTACACTTGTTGGTAGGACATTCCTAGGTAGTTTAACCAGGTGAGAAGTTGTCACAGAACAGCCAAACCCACAAGGATTCTTGTAGTTCAGAGCCAGCCAGTGAGTAGCATATACAATACTTTCTTATTGTGATAGAGCACAAAGTAATTAACTACAGAGCATAAAACATGGAATTCCTTTCTGTCACCAGTTCCCTCTGCCCAACAATTCCAGACTAGTACCTCAGCTTGGTAGACTCTCCCTGTTCCTTGGCTGTGCATTCCCTATTGAGTATATATTCAGACACAATCACATATACTTGAGATCAAATAATAGATATTTGGAGATTTGCTTTCATTCATGTTTATCTCAGGCAAGACATCAAATCTTGAAGATCATTCTATGTGAGTACAAATAAATCCATTTCCTTCGTTTCAAGAGTTGCAAAATGTCCCATCAGTGGATGCACCATGATTTATTCATACCATTCTCTACTCAGGGACGTGTAAGTCGTTTCCTTTTTTCCCATATACAGCATGTTTAATGAACATCCTTTTGCATGTGTCTTTATGTGTATATTACATATTCGTGTATATCTGAAAGGCTAGATTCTTGGAAGAGGACACTGAGTCAGAAGGCCTTTTACATTTTGGCCAATTGCTGTTCCCCAGACTCTCCCTAAGCCCACAGGAGGGGAGGGCACTGTCCTAAAGTGCACCCTACTACTTCAAATTCGATGTTGGAATTGTGCTGCAGGGAGCGCTCTTTACACAAACTACTGGAGTGGAGAAACCTGAAATTGCAGGCTGCCACGTACATTCTCCAACACTGGATATTTATCTTTTAAATTTTTGGCAATTCCATGATAAAAATGTTACCCTGTTGTTTCTATGTACTTGTTATTTATTATGAGTGAGACAGCTTTGTTTGGTTTCTCAGTAACTTTTTCTATTCTCCCCCTTTCCTTTATACATTCTGATTATTATTTTTTTATATTCTGATTATTAATCAACTACCTGTTATCTGTGTTGGCAGTGTTTTCTCCCAGTCTTCCATGGTCTTTAACTTTCTGTATTGTATCTTTCATTATTCAGAAGTTTTAAATATTAGGTAGCCAAATCTCTAAATATTTTCTTTTATGGTTTGTGGGGTTTACGACTTGGGATTCCTCACATCGAGACTGTAAAAATATTTTCTTAAAATAGTTTGAAGTATTTTAAAAGTCTAATCTCTAATCCATCCAGAACTTTTATGCAGTTGTGAGAAAAGAGTCAAGCTTAAAATTTTTTCTTGAATGGACATCTGAAGAGCTTAATGTTCCTTATGGTATGGTCCATCCCTTTGAACATAAATTATTGTCTAGAGCAAGTAGGGTTCTAGAACAATCTCAAACCATTGGGTCTGTTACAATGTCAAAGACACAAAAATCAAAATAGCCAGACTTTACCTCCTTCATGTTTATATGGATGGAGCTGGAAAATATTCTTCTTAGCACAGTATCACAAGAATGGAAGAAAAAATATCCAGTGTACATAGCCCTACTATGAAACCAGTTTATAGCTTTCATATGAAAGCTATAACCTAATTACAGCCTAAGAATTTAGGGAGGGGGGAGGGGTAGGGGAGGGAGGAGGGGTATCTGGGTGGAGGGAGGGTATTGGTATCTATGGTTTGTCTTACAAGGGTACAAGTGAATCTTTCTAAAAGTAGAGTATAAACGTCTTAACACAATAACTAAGAAAACTGACATGAAGTCTATGTTAACTAGTTTGATGAAAATATTCCAAATTGAATATGAAAACACCACACTGTACCCCCATGATTGCATTAATGTATACAGCTATCATTTAATAAAAAAAAAATCAAAATAGCCTTATCATGAGTGGTGCCTGTGGCTCAGTGGGTAGGGCACTGGCCCCATGTACCGAGGGTGGCAGGTTCAAACCTGGCCCTGGCCAGAAAAAACAGCCATGTGTTGTGGCGGGCACCTGTAGTCCCAGTTGCTCAGAAGGCTGAGGCAAGAGAATCGCCTAAGTCCAGGAGTTGAATGAAGATTGCTGTGAGCTGTGTGACGCCAGAGCACTCCACCGAGGGTAGGAAAGTGAGACTCTGTCTTTACAAAAAAAAAAAAAAAACTAGCCTTATCATTTTAATAAATAGGGAAACTATTATTGGATGAAATTAAACAGCCCTCCCTGACATAAAAATGACAACAAACTATAAGCAGTAGAAATAAAGGAACATTTTCTTAATAAGATAAGTATGTTGGCTCGGCGCCCATAGCTCAACCGGCTAGGGCGCCAGCCACGTACACCTAAGGTGGCAGGTTCGAATCCCCAGCCCGGACC